GACATCCTGCTGGGAGAGGTGAAGAGTCCAAGAGGAAGTTTCTGTAACAAACTTGGTGGAAATTGTGATGGTGGTGACTGGTAAGGCAAGATTCAGTTTTGTTGTTCATAGGGTTGTCAACGAGTCAATTCAGTGGTATCTGAAAACAAAAACATTCTGCTCTATCTCTGTGAATAGCTATAAGTTGTTTATTTTTAGGTCCCCTGGTTCCTTTAAACGAGAAATAGGATTAGAAACAAACATATTGGCATTATGAGTGTTCAAGATTACAAGAATGTCTGCTTTTAGGCCCTTTCAGCAGACAGAGATGAGAAATATATGTATATGAAACCTAGACATATACCAGGAAGTTGTCTGAACAGAGCAAGGGAGCACTGCATGGTTTAAAAAGGAAAGGTATATATCAGAGTTGTATCCTTTCTCCATACCTATTCAGTCTGTATGCTGTGTAAATCAGTTGAAAAGCTGGACTCTGAAAAAGAATATGGTATCAGAATTAGAGGAAGATTCATCAACAACCTGTATTATAGAGATGACACAATTTTGCTGAAAATGAAGAGAACTTGAAACACTTGCTGCAGAAGATCAAAGACTACAGCCTTCAGTATGAATTGCATCGCACCATTAAGAAGACAAAAATCCTTACCACTGTGTCTATAAACAACATCATGATAGATGGAGAAAAGGTTGAAACTGAATTTCCTCTTCCTTGGGTCCATAATCAACACCTTTGGTACCATTACTCAGGAGATATATTGGATTAAGAAAGTCTGCAGTCAGAAACCTCTCCAAATTACTGAGGAGCAATGATGTCAGTTTGAAGACTAAGGTTTTCCTGATCCAGACCATGGTCTTTCCCATCACTTGCTGTGCATCTGAGAGCTGCACAATGAATTAAGGATGATAGAAGAGGAAATGATGCCTTTGAACTGTAGTGCTAGAGAAGAGTACTGAATATTCCACTTACTGCCAAAAGAACAAAAAAGATTTGTCTTCATGAAAGTATAGCCAAAATGCTCCTTGGGGGCAAAGATGACAATGCTTTGTCTCACATACTTTAGGCTTGTTGCTAGGAGAAGGTATTCCTTAGAGTGGCACCATGCTTGGAAAGGTGGAGGGTTAAACAGTTCTCTCCTTCATATGTTTCAGTGCAGTATACATTATTTATCCCCCCCTTTCTCAGACTCCCTTCAATCCCAATGTCAATCTCGTTTTACAGCACTGGCACTATGTAATATTTGTCCTTTTGTGTCTGAGGTATTTCACTCAACATAATGTCCGCCAGAGTCATCCATTTTACATAATATTTCATGAGTTCTTTGTTTTTCAATGCAGCATAGTGTTCCATTGTGTGAATATAGCAGAGCTTCGTTTTTCATTCACTTGTTGATAGGCACTTAAGTTGTTTCCAACTCTTTGCTATTGTGAACAAAGCTGCAATAAACATGGCTGTGCATCATAGAATTTTTATGAGTAATACTCAACTCAGCAACACCTAACAACAATGCCACAGACACAAATACATGTGCAGATTTATACATTGAAAAGTATGCAGGTGGATGTATGCATTATATCCATATACATTTAAGTATTTCTACATTTGGGCCTTCTCTAAGGCCTTTAGGTAAATTTGCCTAGATTAGAAGTATTGCGTTTAGATCCCTAGCTGTATCCAGCCTATCCAAGTTCTTCTTTCCTTTGCATTTTATATTTGTACTCACGTTTTCTAATTCTCAAAACTTTGCCTTCCAACGAGATTTAAAAAACTCTTTTGCTCAAGCCTACATACATCCAGAAGTTTCAAACTAGATTTGTACAGCTCTAAATAAGACAAATTCACTGAAGAGTTGAGAATTTTTAGTTCTCCCCTGCAAGACTAAGCTTATACAGTCAAATACTCTGTACCTACGTGATGATTGGCAAATTGTTTTTGTTCCTCTTTACGGTGATCACACAATTCTGTTGTGCTTTGTTTGGATTGATTTACTTCTGATTGCTTTCACTTCAAGGTTTTCCCCCCTACCTTTCACTTCTAAAATTTATAACTGCCCAAAAGAGTACACAGCCACTCCTCATTTATCAACTATCTTGTTATCTGGCATTTTGCATGTATGATGATGGTAAACAATCTACTGTCCAGTTATTATGTGTGCATAAATGGTGTACATGTGACTGTAAGAATTCCTAAGTATGAGGCAGCAGTAACATTGGCTGTGATGGTTAAGGATATCTATCAATATGAGTGGGCTGTGATTCTCAGTGATTTGCTAATTATGTAATGCTACAATTTAGCAGTTATCTAATGGTGTAATTTGAGTTATGTAATGATGTAACCATCCTTCATTTTGTAAGCTGATGTAATCATCCTGTATTTTCACTTAATACAGGCTTTTCCATATCAAAAGGTTTTGCAACCTAATTATGTTGATAAGTGAGGAATGTATGTACTAAGAGGTGCTTCCCTTCCTACTCTGTTTCTTCTGCCCTATTCTCATTATCTTTTGTAGGTACCAACTATTTCTTCATTTATTTTTCCTATGTTTCTTCTGTTGGTAAAAACAAGCAGTTTTATGCCTGTTTTCCTATGCAAAATGTTGATTATTGTTTATTCCATTCTCACACAAGTTTTCTTTCACCTCTTCCTCCTCCCTCCTTTCTCTTTACTGGAGCAAGTTCTGTTCAGATCCAACTTACAGAGGTTAAGCCTTACCTCAGCCCCAGGATCTTCATATTGTTCTCCATATACACATACAATCCAGAGCACACCATTCTTTGCTTTTTTATAGCACTGATTGTTTCTGTCAGCCAGAACACATACTGTGTTTTCCCATTATTTATTGTTGTTTGGTGAAGGTTGCTGATTACAGTAGACAAAGCATACTATTTGGAACTAGATGGTCCTAGGCATTATCAGCTCCATCACCTCTAGTGGTATGAACTTGACCCTATTATGTAGTTTCCCAGAGTTGCCTTTTTTCCTCCAGCCTAGGGCTCAGAAATATGAAGAATAGTGAAACATGTTTAATAAACTGAATAAGCAATAAATAAATATTTACAAAGGTAGTATTATGATTATTACTTGTTCCTTTGCTAAATATTCAGAAAATCAAAGAATTATTAAATCATACTGGTGTAAGCATGCATGTATTGCTTTTCCTCCACTGGTTGTTTTTTTGTTTTTTGTTTGTTTGTTTGTTTGTTTTTAATGTGCAAAGAGAAGACTGCTGGACCAGGATTCAGAAGACCTGTTCTTGTTTTACCAGCAAGATAAATTCTGTGTTTCTGGGCATCCCTTTTCCTCTTCTTGGTCTTTTCATCAGCCCAGGGAATATGTTGTCTATTTCATGGGGCCATTTGTAGAGATTAAGTGAGTTAATGTGCATTTTAAAAGTACCTTCTAAATTATGGAGTACACAGTGGTGATCCTAAAGGTTAGTGGTTCAAACCCACCAGCTGCTCCATGGGGGGAAGAAGCAGTCTGCTTCTCTAAAGATTTACAGTTTTGGAAACTCTATGGGAATGTTCTACTCAGCCCTGAATCAGAATTGACTTGAAAACATAAGATTTGGGAATTTTTTTTCTGTTTTGCATTATTTTTTAAATACATTTTTTTTAATGGCAGAGGCAGGTTTAGTGGTGTCACCTTTTTTGTACACTGTAATGAGCCAACCCCCCTTAACCCCCCCAAAAAAAAGAGCAAGTAAGAAAAAGTTTCACACCGCACTTTAACACAGATTTTGTAAGCAGTAGGCATCAACATCTCCACATGGTTGGCGTGGGAAGCCTGAGGTCCCTCAGTCATCTGTGTTGTTCCATGAACTCCCGCCACCCCATGGCACCCAGCCCGCTGGCCGGGACCCCACAGCACAGGTGCGGGGCCAGCTTAAGGCCAATGAGACGCAGCATGCTTTGGCTTCCCCTGCCCCCCCCCCCCCCCCCCCCGCCTCTTTTTTCTAGTCAGTGTTAAATTTTTCTCTTAAGATTTTATTACATAAATATTCCATGCGTACACCCAAAATTACATAGCTGTTCTGTGCACCTCTGAGAAGCTTAAAAAACTTTTAAACCTCACTTTTTTATGAAGTTGTGTGGGTGACATATATCATTTGTGTTCAACTACTAACCTAATGATTAACCGTGTGAACCAATCCAGTGGATTCATGAAAGAAAGCCCTGGCCACCTGTTTCCATAATGATGGTGGCCAAGAAACCCCCATGAAGCAGTTTTACTCTTACAGGGTGTAATTTATGGGATTATGGGGTTGCTATGAGCTGGAATTAACATGATGGCAATGAGTATGGCTACATATGTATGAAAAACTGTTTGCAGCCACAATTCAGCTACCATTTGCACTTTAAGAACTGCAGACCCCTCCTTGGGGTATTTGCCATTGACTTGGATTGTATCACCAAGTCTAGACTATGTGGTCAAGATACACACATAGAGGGATATAATATTTGGAAAGAAAATAAAGACCAATATAGACACAATGATAATATCTAGAGAATGCAGTGGTGTTAGGCTTACCTTCTTGGAATCTCTGGGTGGTGCAAATCAGTTGACTGTTGCTGAAAAGTCTACAGTTTGAACCTGCCCAGAGGCCCCTGGGAAGACCAGCCTGGTGATCTACTTCTTGAAAATTCTAGGGAGCAGTTTCTCTGCCACATGGAGTGGACATGAGTTGGTTATTTATGTGGCAGCAACCACTACCAAGGACATAATTTTCTGGCTACTTTTTGGGTGTTTTCTCACTTTCTGCAGTGAGCATGTATTGCTTGGTAACTGGAAAGGCGACTGTGTGCAGAGCAGCCTCTTCCCAGCAGGTGTCCCCTGTGGATTTGTTACTTTGGCAATGACTCATCCTTCTCATCACTCTGCCCTGGGGATCCTTGAACTCACCGTTACACTCCCCGTGAGAGTAACTGCAGGATCTTCTGAAGGGAACTTTGGAATTGATGCGTGAATGCTGGAGTGACTTCTTATCTGTTTCTCTCTGCAGTTGGTCACCACTGATGGGCGCTTCCTCAGAGACAGTCTATACAGTGAAGGAATCCTGATTGTGTGGGACCCATCTATATATCATTCAGACATCCCAAAGGTACAAGAGTGTCCATGGGAAGGAGGGGTTGGATTAACTGTGTGCTTGTAGAGTTTCTTGAATTCTTGGGGTTTTAATGTCATAGCTGACCTTGTGGGTGGACCATTTTCATTTTAGGGCATCTATCTTATCTGGACTACCAGGCATAGAGGTATTTCCCACACTAGCTGCTCTCAATGCCTTGTCATACTTTGCCAAATTGCAGGCCCGTTGTCATTGATTCAGTGCAACCTCACAAAAGCCTGGGAGGCTAAGTAGAACTGTCTCATAAGATCTCCAAAGCTAAAATCTTTACAGAAGCAGATTGCCACATCTTTCTTCCATGGAGCAGGTGGCAGATTCAGATTATTGACCTTTAGGTTAGCAGCCAAACACTTAAACAATTGTCTCCCAATTATGGTGTGTATGGAAATAATGTTGTTGTTAAGTGCCATCGAGTCGCAGACATAGTGACCCTATGAAGGAGAATCCTCAATGATTTGGTATCTTTCATCCTCTCTTCTGGTTCATAGGGTTTCCGGAGGCAAGCTATTATGGAACTAATAGAGGTTGTGTTTCTAAGAATCTGAAGTGAATTGTGTTCATTTAATATGCTCATTCCTGATAATTCTCAACAGTAATAGTCACTATTGTGATAGAAATGACTACAAATATTGCCTCACATTTATGGGAATGAGTTAATCTCATTTCATTTCTTTAGCAATGCCAGGAAGTAGAAAGTGTGGTCTTTCCCATTTTATAGCTCAGGACACTGGAATAAGTAGCAGGGGCCACTCATGCCGTTGGATGCAATATGTTAAGCAGAGAGTCCAGATATTCTGCATCAGCTCTCTCTGGAAAGAAGACAGGAGTTTCTGTCTCCCAGATCCTTACCTTCTTGGGGACAGACCTGCCTCTGTTTGCTGTGGTTGTCAAATGGCCTTTTCTGTATGGGGGCCACTAGGGCCACAGGAAAATGTCTTAAAGGAGGCAGAATGGAGAGCACTGTACTCGTGACATTTAATTCTTAGATTTTTCTTGTTGTGTACCGACCCATAGCTGACCCTCCAGCAGGTTTACAGAGGCAGTAAATTACACATGAGGAGATTGCCCAGCTTTCTCCCAGGGAGCAGCTGGTGGGATCGAACCATGTGACTTGGATTTGGCAGCTCCTTACCCTTGGACCACCAGTGTCCTCTAATTCTTACATTAGACCACTAATCACTGACAGACTCTAGTGATCATTGTTGTTGTTGTTGTTATGTGCCGTCGAGTCGTTTCCGACTCATAGCGACCCTATGCACAACAGCTCTAAACCCTGCTTTATCCTGCGCCAACCGCACCGCCTCTGACATACCCATCCCGATTACCCCAGTCACCGAATCAATCCATCTCATAGAGGGTCTTCCCCTCCTGCGCTGTCCCTCCACCCTCCCAAGCATGATGTCCCTCTCCAAGGACCCGTCCCTCCTGACAACATGTCCAAAGTATGTCAGACGAAGCCCCAGAATCTTTGCCTCCAAGGAGTAGTTTGGTTTAATCCTCTCCAAGATGAATCTGTTTGTTTTCCTGGCAGTCCATGGTACATTCAGTACCCTTCTCCAGCACCACAGCTCAAAAGCATCCACTCTCCTTCTGTCCTCCCTAGTCATTGTCCAACTCTCTGATGCATAACAAGTGATTGCAAATACCATGACCTGTATCAGGCGCACCTTAGTCTCCAGAGAGACACTGTTGCTCCTGAGTACCTTTGAGAGGTCCCTAACAGCAGACTTTCCCATCGCGATACGCTTTTTGATTTTCTGACGGTTGGTACCAAGAGTGTTGACTGTGGAGCCAAGCAAAGTGAAGCTGTGAACACTCTCAATCTCTTTGTCATCCATCCTGACGCTGCCATTGGTCCAGTGGTGAGAATCTTTGTCTTCTTGACATTGAGCCTTAGTCCATACTGACGGCTGCAGTCCTTGACCCTTCGCAGCAAGTGCATGAGGTTCTCCTCAGTTTCAGCAAGCAAGGTTGTGTCATCTGCATAACGGATATTGTTAATAGATCTTCCACCAATCCTGATGCCACAATTCTCTTCATAGAGCCCAGCCTCTTGGATAATCTGCTCTGCATACATGTTGAAAAGGTATGGAGACAGGATGCATCCCTGGCGTACCTCAAATTCCACATTTTGCCCTGATCTTAGAACTCAGATTTGCTCAGGATTGGACAGGAGCTCTGAACTCACAAGTACTTTCCATTCACTCACCTTTGAAAATATTCAGATGTGACATTTGAAAATGTGGGGTCACATGGCACCCAAGACTCCTTTCAGCTCTGACAGCATCCCCATATTCTATTAAAGTGAAGTCCGAAGCTGTTTCCGGGTCACCACACTCAGAATGTCCTGTCGGCATAGGCTACAGACTCTGTGTCATGTTTCTGTCAAATAAGAGTTATGCTGTGGTGTCTGCTCTAAGATTTTACTGTGTCCTTTCCCTCCCTGAGCCCTCAAACAAGGAAGAGTGCCAGAAGTGAACATCTTCAGTCCACCTTTCTCTTGTTGAAGACCATTTTCTTCTCTTTCAGTGGTACCAGCATCCCGACTACAACTTTTTTAAAAATTTCAAGAGCTATCGTAAGATGCATCCCGATCAGCCCTTCTACATCCTCAGGCCCCAGATGCCTTGGGAGCTTTGGGAAATCCTTCAGGAAATCTCCCCAGAGGCGATTCAGCCAAACCCCCCATCCTCTGGGATGCTGGGTGAGTCCATGTCTGTGGAAGGATCACTCAGACTTGTGTCTTAGGGGGCACGCATGCACTATCCTGGGCCCACATGCTGATGATACAGAGGGACGTAAAACTCATAAGGTCCTGTACTCCAAGGAACAGTCAGCTGGGCTTGGATTACCAGGGAGGCTCAGGGTGGGACTCACAGTTATAAGCCCAAATAATCCCTTGAAAACTGGTTATGAGCTGGTGCAGGCACCAGCAAAGTTAGTGGCTTATTATGTGGTTTACCATCAGGACTCACCTGTGCTTCCTCTCCAGGCATCATGATCATGATGACACTGTGTGACCAGGTGGACATTTATGAGTTCCTGCCATCCAAGCGCAAGACCGACGTGTGCTACTACTACCAGAAGTTTTTTGACAGCGCCTGCACCATGGGCGCCTACCATCCGCTCCTCTTTGAGAAGAACATGGTGAAGCACCTGAACCAGGGCACAGACGAGGACATTTACCTGCATGGAAAAGCCACACTGCCTGGCTTGCGGACCATTCACTGTTGAGCTCCCTGACCAGGCTTCTCACCTCTCTTCAAGGGGCTTTTTCCAGTTGGTTGGTAGCTACCCTGGGCACAGGACCACTATGTTCCTGTGCAATCCCAGACTGATCCTTGCATTCTAGAGCCTTCTGTCAGCAGAGCTCTGGGGCTATAGCGGTCTGAGAGCAAGGAATCGGGTCTAGCATTCCCTGTAGCTGCAAAAATGTATGTGGACCCAACATTCCCACCACACACAGATGCACACACTTAGCCATCTTTCCAAAGAGAATCCTTCCACTTTACACAGTCTGTTTGTATTCCACGTGTTCCTACAAATATATACTGGTAGGTCCTCATTTCCCACCATAGATGCCAAAGTTTTGTTTGTCGTTCCCCCCCCCCCAATTATAATGTTTTCGAAAGCCAGCATGCTACAGTGCTATATAGTGCTATCTATAAGTAGATACTGGTTTCATATTCTAAAGGGATTCCCAAATTATGATTGTGCTCAGATCAGGGTATCTCTGGGGGGGGGGGAACAAATGGTACATGGCATAGGAGACATGTTTGATTCTTCTTGAACCAAGTTGGATTCGAGGCCCATGGCCTTGGACAGGCAGTGCTCCTGTCTCTCTATCAGGTTTGGCTGGTACTTAGCCTGGGTGTTTTTAAGCACAGGCTCTTGATGAGCCCTCCTTTCTTCTCCAAAGGAGATGAAAGACACACCATCTTTAAATTGCAGTCTAGTGGGGTAGAATGGCATGTACACTGGCAGTTAGGATGCAACGTTTTTATGCACTGAGTTCTAAGACAGAAATGAGCTGGCTGGCTGGTCACCTGGGATGGATGCAGAGCCACTGTAACTGAGTCCCAGAGGGCTTCGCAGATACAGGGACATTTGAGTGGGACTTAGAAGAGGAGGAGAATCATGTAAAGCACTTTTATCTGAGTTATTTTGTTTGTGTTTTCATTTTTCCCTTTGTCACTGTTAACTCAGCTCAAATTTGCAAGTGTGACATGGCTTTTGAGGGATACCCCTGAAGCAGCAAAGTACAGCCCCATGGCAGACACCAGGCAAGGCCCATGCCAAAACCCCCAATTTCTCTAGGCTTGGCCTGCCCCAGTCTTACCAACTGGTTTGCACAACAGTATTCCAATTCTTTTCTAACCCCACATCTCCTGCCAGCTGCCATCTTCTCTTTCCCTTTAAAAGTCTTCCCCCTTGTTAATTACAGTATTTTCTGCTTTAAAAGTATCCTGACCATATTGCTTTGACCTTCTGGGGAAGGTCTCTCAGGGAGTGGGGGAGGTGGTCCCCTAGGGCTTAAAGCCATCCTCAGAGCTTAACTGGTTCCCTTCCTGGTGTGCAGGTATGTGGGATCAGATGGCCACGCCCTCAGTTACCCCTGCCCCCAGGGAATTAACATCAGAATCTCCCCATAGCACCAGCTGGCTGGCAATCCACATGTGGTTTGCATACCACATTCCCCTTCCCCTTTTGGACTGGTTTGGCCCCTAGCAAGAAGTTAAACCACCTGCTCAGGGCCACAGCTGTGGAGCCAGGCTGCTAGCCAGGCTTTCTGAACTCCCCATTCTGGCCTCACATGCTCAGTGGACTCCAAGGTGGGAGCTTCAGACACTGGCTTGCAAACCGGGGCCCTTATGAATGCCAAACCCTAGGTTTATGTAGACTGTAGAAAGGACTCTGAACTGCAAAGTCCCGGGCTTTCAAAGCTATATCGCTCGACTTACTAGCTGTGCCGCCTCAGCAAATGCCCTTCCCTGAGCCTCTGTTTCCACATCTGTAAAATGGAGGTGATGTACCTACCTCACAGGGCTGTTGTGAAGATCCTGTGAAAGCGCCTGTCCTGCGTCTGTACCTGACTCTCAGCAGGGGCTCAGTACGAGCTGGTTTCCATTCTTCCTTTGCTGGACCCTGCTGCTAGGGCGTCCAGAGAAGGGGCCCTGCTCTCAGGGAATTTTCCTTGTAGAAGACAACCTGCCACCCTGCTTGCAACACCCAGGAAACCATCCAAAGCAGTGAGGGGTGAGGAATGCACCCCTTCTCACTGCCTGCAGCTCAGGTTTCATTCTGCCCGGGAAGGATCCAGAACTCGGACCTCTTAACTGCTGTCTGGAATGAGTCTTGTCCATTCTGGGCTCCTCAGTTCCTGGCATGCTTCATGTTTCGGTAAACTCATTGTGATCTCTACATCTTAGACAGTGAATGTGGAGGAGAGGAACATGCCATCAGCCTGGATACGTTTGCTGTGGAGACTGAGACTACACTGGGTAGATGCTAGTTTTTAAGTTTTATTAATATAAGGGATCAGATTAATTTAAGTATGATTATGATGTCTACAGAATGTGGATGTGCTCTATGTTGAAAATTTTATAAAATGCAAATAAAATGTTAGAGTATTTGGTATGATGAGCAGTTTAATATTTGTGGCCAATAATGTAAAAATGCTAATGAGTGCTTGCTGTCGGGACCTATCTGTCTGCCAGGAGTTCCATCTTCAGTCAGTGTCTTTTCAGCATCTCTCATGTATCTTTTAACCATTCCACAGTTTTAGGAAGCTGCTGATTATGCTTTGGAATTGAAGCAGCCCTCTTGGAGACTTCCAAATAATGCCTAAGCTCATTTTTAATTACCCAAAGATTATGTAAAATTTTAAAATAAAAGGTTTTTTAAACAAAGAAAAAGCTGTTACTTCTCATTTGCTGTGGGAATGATTGCTCTTTGGAGGCACTTGGCAAGTGTCTCCAAAACCCACTGTCATCAAGTCTGACTCAGTGAGACACTCTTCCCATGATAGCAGCCCACCTTGTTATTACTATGTCACCAGCGCTCTTTTGCTTGACTTCAGACATAACTAAGCTGTCTGATACCCAGAGTTTCAGGGACAGGGCAGACACTGAATTAAAGGAAAATGTGCTTAATAAGTAAATAAAGGAATGTGCTTCCTGTAGTTTTCAAAACCGGAAAAATCTTTAAGTGACTGGTATCCTGTAGGAGAGGGTCAAAATGTTTGGGTAGAAATCTTGAGGAAGAACAGCAGGCAGAAGAGAAAAGATGGTTTGCTTTCCCACATCCTTTCACCTCCAGAGACCACCTCGTACTCCCCAGACAGCACTGTGTCTCTTGTGTTGGGCCCGAAAACACTAGGTAGAGATGTCACGGGACCCTGTGCCCTGCTTCCCAGCCAAAGTTCTCGGGGAACTGGTGGTCTTTGGAGAGTGACGTTTCATGGAGACTCCAGTCCAAGCAAATGGGACATTCGGTGGCCGTGAAAAGATTCCACGCAGAGTGAATAACAGATGCCCTTTCCTGATGTGGTAATTGATGAGGGACATCTGAACAGTGCCTGAGTCAAACTAACAATAGCAGAAACCATTCCCCAAGCCCTGTCTCCCTATGTTTTAGTAGGCTACACTTGCCACTCACTTTAAAAAACTTTTTTTTTCATTGTCATTTTAACAGAACTTTACAGAAAAGTTAGATTTTCATTCATTGTTGCACATTGCCACTCACATTTAACTCCAGACTGACAATGAGTACATTTCAACTCTTCTGTAGCATGAGAGTTAAAAAAAAATTCTATTAGCTTGGGGACTGAAATATGAACTGATCAAATGTACAGTGTGCCTAGGCATCACTCTGGAAAACACACTTCCCCAGCTACCAGCTAAAATGTTAGAGGTGTGGGTGCACCTAGAAGAGACGTGGAATAAAGGCCTGGTGATCCAAAAACTGAAAAATCAGCCACTGAGAACCCTCTGGAACACAGTTACACTTCAACACACATGGGGTCTCCATGAGTTGGAACTGACACAGAGACAAAGGGTTTGATTTCTGTTTGTTTTTTATTTATGCTGGTGGGATGGAGGGAGAAATAGCCTAAGCTCCTATTTATCTCACTAGGCATTTGAGAGAAGAAAGAACAAAGTCACAAAGGATGAGGTCATGGAGAGATACTAACCTGCAGCCTCTACAACTACCCTTGAAGAGACTTGGCTCTCAGCCTGTTCTCATCCAATCAGTCTCATCTGGCAGTGTCCTGAATCCACACCACTGTGTCTCCTCTGATCCAGGAGGACAAAGAGAATGAGTTCCCCTGATTGCTGGAACTGCCACCTCTGCGCTGGTCCCTGTTCCTTATCTTGTGTGACCCTTGCTTCCACTTCCCTGGTTGGCACTCAGGGCAGCCTTCCTGGAAGTGGTGTGAATAATCGTTTCCACTCTCACCAGGACAGGACAGTGCTGTAATGCAGAAAATATATTCCCGTGGGCTGGAATAATGGCTTCAGTTCCAGGAGAGAGGAAGAGGCTTACTTGAACTAAAACCAACTTCTAGTAACACTATGGGACAGAGCAGAAGTGCCTCATAGGGTTTCCAAGGTCATAATCCTTACAGAAGCAGACGGCCACCTTTTTCTCCTGTGATGGGTTCAAACTGCTGACTTTTTGTTAGCTGCAAACTCTTCACCTCCTGCATCAGTGGGAATGGACATCCAGTGACTATGTATTGTGGGAAATATGCACAAGATCCTAGAAGATAGTGATGATGGAAACTCACAATGCCTGCATGCCAAGAAATCAGGGCTTTGGGGAATGGAAGGTCCTGCCCTTTGGGTCAGGGTTACTAAGATAATGACAGAGAACAAGGATATTATTCTCAAAAGCTAAATCTCAATAGACTTCAGCATTGTTAAAGACTGATACCATGGACGAAAGGAATTGTGACCACCAGACCAATAAGGAATATGATGATAGAAGGAGAACATATTGACATTCTCAACAATCATCTTACTGGAATCCACAATCAACATCGTTGGCACCAGCAGTCAAAAAATCGAAAGATGTGTGTCTGCTGTCAGGGATCTCTCCAAAGTACTGAGGAGCAATAATGTCACTTTTAAAGACTAAAATGTGTCTGATTTAGGCCATGGTATTTTCCATCACTTGCTATACACCTGAGAGCTGGACAATGAATAAGAATGACAGAGAATCAAGCCTTTGAG